AGCATTTTTCTAGACTGACAAGATTCACCATTTGCAGTACTTACTACAGGCTGCATGTGGTTCCTATTGATATTTAATACAAAAACCTTGTTAGTGTTGTCAAAAAAAAGGCCATGGTATCTCACTACAACAGACTTCCGACCCCTACATGCTTTCTGAAAAACAGGGCTGCATTTAAGATTTTGCTTCTACCCTTGCAGAATCTGGCTTCGTTAAACCAAAAATTTCAAGAGGGGCCTGTACAAGCAATAGCTCCTAAAACACACTTGCCATTCAGCTTGGGCATTCCCTGTGTGAAGTTAAGTTTCCTTTAAAGTATAAATTTCTAAGTCGCTGTTTCAGTCATTCCATCAAACTTCAGAAACAACCAGTAACACCTCTGAACAAAATAAGAGCCATCACACCCTCAAAGGACCTTATTATAAACAACAGCTTTTGATTAATTTGTGTTTGAGGCAAAGTAGCTGGCTGTGTTAAAAAGAAACAAACAAAAAACCAGCCCAAAGATGCTTGCAATTAGCATGTCCACAAGGAAGCGCTGGTCTCCAGATCAACAGCTGCAAAGAAAAATAGTTGCCACTGAAATGTAATTTTACTCACAAGCTAAAAATTAGGTACAGTCAGAATTTGAATGCAAAAGTAGGCCTCTTGCAGGTCTGGAAGGACTGGCTTCTCCACAACTCCTCAGGCAAGTTATGAACTAAGCTGCTCCTAAGGGCAAAACTGCCTCAGCCCTTTGGTCTGCCCAAATCTGTGACACACACCAGCTCCAAAAACACTTCAAGAATTGAGTGGTGTTTACTGTGAGCTCACAGCACATGTCTCCTGGGGTTTTAAAAGCTGATGCGATGCATGCTCACCAAACGCACAAACCAATAGCCAGCTGAGAAGGAAGGAAGGGTGGTGGTGTCTGAAATTACAGGTACAACTTAAAGCAGCCTGTTAACACAGGCATTTGAAGTTGGGATATCAAGCTCACCCTGCTCTGTGCCTCACATGACAGCTACTCAAGTTTTCACTTTCAAATTAGATAAATATTGCCAGTAAGAAATTAAAGCTCAGCAGAAGAAAAAAGCAGCCCATGGGGAGCTGTGCTGGGTCCTAAGAAGTGCGGAGGCCTCTGCCACTGCTCCAAAACAAGTATTTCACTCTAGAACAGCAAAGCCCTATACACAGAAAGCCCCAAGAACTACCACCTCCACTGCAGTAGCACATGCAAGCCTTAAATTCAGACTCCATTGTAGTAAGAACTATTTCAAAGGATAGTAAACCTCTAGGTATATGGTCTTCTAGGTATACACTTGCTTCTCTAAAGCAACCATTTAACCAGAGAAGAAAATACTTTACAGTATTTGAGATAATCACAAGCTACACCAAATCAACAACTGAACTGCCTTCATAAGCACAACAATTTTATGTATAGCTTTAAGAACAGTTCAGTGCCACTGAAGCCATGAATTTGGACCAATGATGTAATAAAGTGATCAGGACTGCATGAATTTGCACCAGTAGATTTCCCTCTTTCTAGTTCTAAAAAGCACTTCAAGGCAAGATGCCAACCTGCACCTAACAAAAGGTATATGGATGCCCCAGCCCATAGAAGCAAATGCAAAGGATCTTAAAACCAAGCTTGTCTTCCCAAGTTCTCCTCTCTGCTGTACCTTTCTTTCACCACAGGATCCAGTATGTGAAGTCAGCAAAACTTAATTTAGGCTTAAAGCTACGCTCTTACTATACTATGCCCCCATTTTCACATTAACAAATCCTTGAATTTCAAGATGTGGCAAGACAGTCCTACTTACCATCTAGTAATTCTAGAGTAACTGAAGGATCTACATATTCCCACCAGTGTTTTCCATCAGTTGATACCGGAATCTCCCAGTTGGACCACTTGCAGGCCAAGTGAATGCACACACATGCTATCACTGTGGGCTTGTACTGAAGACAGAACGTGGTAAGGTGAAGACTGTTGTACAAATTCCGTAATGAGGAACCAGAGGAAATCAAACATGTAAAACAGAAAACCCAAACAAATCAACCATTAACATACAAAATAAGAGAACTTGTCAAGCAACACAGTTATACATTAGTTCATAAAATATCTTACTGTCTTAAGAAAACAAAGGGCAGGGCATTTATCTGGGAGAAAAGTTTAATTTGTTTTTACTATAAGAAGTGTGATGTACAAAAAGTAAATTTATCAGTTTTCTACTGTACTTAAGCACTAAAAAGAAGTATAATATGGTCAATTAAAATTCTACAGTAAAACCCACTCAGCTGATTATGCAGACTCTGAAAGAGACAATCAGAAGAAGTTACCCAGTAGTTCCACAAAAGCCTGGTGAATTACTTGGGGGCTTAGCTTTCACTAGGCCTGGATCTGTGATATTTGTGAACTTGCCTTCAGCCTTCAGCTGGCAGCAGCACCAAGACATTTGTTCAGTTTCTCAGTTTCATCACAGCTTTTCTTAACACCTATTTCCAATACAAGAACCTCACCCACCAGGAAATATTTATTTGGAAGAGCTGTAATAGCCAGCTGATATTGCTTAAGAACTATCTACACATAATGTAATCCTCTTAAATAAAGCTCAGAGTTGTTTTGCAAAGAGTAAATTGAAGTAATAGAGAAATCAAGACTTAAGTCTCTGATTCCACCTCAGTACAACAGGTTACATATATTGTATATATGTATACACAGTCCCCATCTGGAATCCTAGAACTTTAGATTTATGTAAGCACTCAATTTTTAAAACTAGGTATTAAGACTGTTTCTAAAAGGAAGAACATTGGACTACTACTAGTTTATCTGAAAAGAGAGATCAGCTAGTTGAAAAGATCTTAGGCCCACTACAATTTTATAAGTTAAGATTCGATCAATATATTTAAAGTTAAGAGAAAACTGCCATTAACTACAAGTGTAAACTAGAAATAGTTTTGTACTTACCAAGACGCTCGGATTTCTAGGTTAAGTTTTGTAATCTTTAGCTGCTATTCAGGCTACCACTTTTAGACTTATGCACTCACAATCGAGAAAAATGTCATCAGAAAGCACCACTACACTTCTCATTGTGCATTTAACCCCTCTGTGCCATCAGGCCCTTGTACAATACACCGCACTGCAAACAGGAAGGTACCACCACTGTAGATGGCCCAGTCTCCTGCTGCAACAAGGGTAAGACACATGTAGGGGGCCCTGCAGTAAAGGAAGCTATAGTGTGCTACAACAGTGCAACAAAGAGGTTCAGGATAACAACCTGTTGGTAGCCATGAAATAGGATGTCTGTGCCAAATCCTTGCTTGCTGTAAGAAAAGAAAAATGGAGAGATTAAAGATCTGTGCTAACTTGTCAGGTTCACTCCAAAATTAAAGCAGTTTTACCTTCCAAAAAGCACCACTTGGTATTTCCACAGAATTGATCTGAATGTAGCTAACTAGCCTTTAAAATAATAATTTCTGAGATACTGAAGAGGCCATTATATTTGGTAACTGAAGATGGACTGGTCAATCCACTCGCTGAACATCCCCTGTACAACCCACAGAATAGTTTCCTTTTGCTTATCTGACCCCCAGACACCTCACACACAAGTGCAGGCTCTTCTAGGCAGCCCTGCTTCCCACCCTCAGTAACAGATGACCCCTAGCACAACCCTGAACCGCAGTCAGTAAAAGCCAATTCACAGCACAGTGCGTGTTCTGCTCTTGAAGAGGAGCATGGCAGGATAGTGGAAGAACACCCCTTCAGCACCTCCCCCCAAACAGCCACATCTCTCCCCAGAGCCTTACACCATAGCAGGCTCCCAAGATAGGTGGTAAAAATTTAAATGAGTTTAATTAAGAGCACCAAACTCAGAACATTTTGTTCCATGTTTGTTAAACCTATGGCAAAGCTCCAACAGGAAATAAACATCTTCATTTAGTTACAGTCAAGTTAAAAAAGAAACCACACAAGACTGCAATGTGCCAGAAAGGAATAGCTAATGGCTTCGGCTGTTGCAGCCCTCTAGCACTGACCCCAAAGCTCCTAACTAAAGTACAACTTACTGTAACATGCATATAATGGAATAGCTGGGCACAAGGGGTTTAACTGAAGATTGAACGCAGCCTTCATTGAATTCTGACTTTGACACTATCACTTGAAACCAGTGCTACCTGCAGAAAGCGCATTGTTGAATTTCATGTCAAAGGGAGTATTATTAAACGTTTATTTCAATAAGAATCTTTCCACAAAGGTAGAGAAAACCTGCAATGGCTTCGAAAAATTTAGTTTTTAAAAAGTGGTATTAAAGATGTGATTTAACTTCTCACGATTGCCAAGAAGTAAAAATCAGATTTGTTTTTATGCTACCCAGCCAGGCAGTGCCACCATCTGAGAAGAATGTGGACGTAGCAAGGGAACAGGATCCGTTCCTACACACATAATACATTTGTGTGTAGGAACTACAATCCATAATAATCAAAAGGTGAACTGATGATGCGACAGTGCTATACGATAATATTTAGTCTGCAAATGATAATGGTAATTGCATGCCAGATTACCATGGAGATCAACCTTCTCCTCTCCCTCCCATCACAAAAATGTAAGGCAGTATCACCAAAAAGTGAAATGAAACTATTGTAACAAAACAAATGAAAACACAGAAGGGTTGACTAAGACAGAAATTGATGTCTTGCTCTTCATTTTTCAAAGTACTGTTTAAAGTCTCTTCAATGATTTCTATATTCTGTAAAGTGACAACAGGTTTGAATCAAGGGACTGGACCAAAAAGCACCTCTACTCTCACTGAAATGTCCCTTTTGAACAAGGAAGAAAAGCAGATGCCAGAAAACTTCTATTTAACATCAGCTTGAAAGTTGAGTAAATCAACACACATACCTGGAAGAAAAGAATCACATCTTGAAACACACATTTTCACCTCAATCAAAAATTAATGTGCTAAATACCTTACCTATACTACAAGCAGTATGATACGTTTTCATATTTACAGCTAAATAATCATCATTGCTAAAACCAGTGAGGAATTTCAGCTCACAACTAAAGCCTATGGTAACACAAAGCACAACTGAAAAGATCCATTTCAAACTCTTCTTTTACATTTAAGGACAGCTTTGGTTTAGTAGAATCTATAACTAAAATTAAAGCTCATGAATTTCGGTTCATATATTTTCCTTTATAGTGGTGGAAAGTGCATCTCCTAATGAAAATTATCTCGAAGAAGAGGCCAAAACAAGACAGCAGAGCTTCTCTGTCACAACTTATAAGCTGCAGGACTGATGACTATGATGCCAGCCATTAATAATCAGTTCTATATATGATTTAAAACACCCACCCTGTCTTACTGCAGTAACTTCTGAAGAGTGATTTAAAACACCCACCCTGTCTTACTGCAGCAGAAGCAACCATACGGCAGAGGAGTACTCAAGTAGTAATCAAGATTTTTGAAACAGCAGCTGTCCAATACACCTTCCCAAAGGCTACTGTCTCCAAGAAACTCCCAGTGGAAACCAAAATGCTCTTTATTAGGCGTAGCCACACAATTCAACCAGTTCAAATTCTGAATCTTTTCTTCAACACCAGGTTATCTTGGATCTTGAGATAATCATGGAAATGCGATTGCCATGTCACCCTTAGGAAGGTGGTAGCTGGCTACGCCTAGGACCCTGACAACATACATACAACATTCTCTGGAAAGAGGGGCCTGCAGATAAGCCAGTCTGCATCAGAAGAAAGCTTGCTGAGGTCCATCTGGGCAAAAGGAAAAAGGCTCTGAACAGAGGAATGCTGGTGGATGCCTGTTGTATCTGGAAAGGGCAGGAGGAGGCCATGGTGTCGGCATTCAAGTCTGAGCAGTCCTGGTGGCTTTGCTTTCTTGAAAATACTTAAACCTCGGGAACAGGCCTGAAAAATCCCGAGGTGAAAGTTCAAAATGTGAAGGCCGCCTGTAGCACTGCTGGAGTGCAGCTGCTGTTTAAGATCTTTCCACACCACTCAGTATACTAAGATTTACATTTTCCTCACAAGAATACCCTCTGAAAAAGCCGATTCATTTTCATTTCTTCTGCTGACTTTATCAGCCCCATTTAACCAACGGCACCTGTGCACACAGACACTACGGTATGTTTGAAGCATCTGACAGTGTTATTTCCGCAAAAGATTAATAAGGATCATGGGTGTTCAAGATACCTGATAACCTGCAGAGTAGTGAGAACAATCCTAGAATCCTTGGGATCCAATCTTCAGTTCCAAAAGAAGGCTGTGTACCAACACAGAAAAAGGAACGACTGAAGACTTCCTGAGATGGAGATGAGGATACAGATTCCTCTTCTTCAAGTTCCATGAGAAGCAGTCGGGGAACAAACCAATTTGCACCAGAGCTGACGAAGACCATGCCATGGTCTCAGTACTAGGGCAGTTTCATTGCTGATCACTGAACTAGCATTCAAGCCAGTAAGGTAGTTTGATACCAGAACAGTTTTTGGTGTTTTGGTGTTGGGCTTTTTGTTTTTATTTTCTTTTTTTCTCTCTTCAGCACCAACCATCCTTGGTTGAAGCTTGCTGACAAGCCTTCACAGATCCACTGCCTCCAGATTCCTTAGAGGACCTGTGGGATCCTAAGGAATGATGGTCCTGTCTCCTCTTCTCAGTCTCTTGACACTGAGGAAGAATGGTGCAGAAAAAAGACTGAGCCCATTCTCCTTTTCTACTATACTGACCAAACTGAAAAAAATGGAACAATTTCATCAACCCACGAATCTTTGAAAACTAGAAGAAATAATTAGATACCTTGCACCTGAACATTATGAGTCATATATCCATCCAGTCACCCCTTATCTGCAATGATGTGTGATGTCTAACACTACACCTTCAGAAAGGCTTTCAATCTTAGAGATGATGAATTCAACTTTTTCTTTACTTGCACGTCGAAATTATTATGTTTATTTGCACCAATTCCCACTTACTAGTTCATCTTCAGCTTCCAGCAACTGATTCTGGTATGTCATTACAAGACTAGGCAGTCTTCTGACAAAGGACTTGGCTGAATCTCTTGAGCACCACCACCAACTGAACATGGTTTGTTTTTTGTTCTTTTTCCATTTTGTTTTTAAAAGGGGAAGCTTACAGATTAATACAGGTAACAGTGACAGCATAAAGCACATTATGCTGGATGCCAGACAACAAAAAGTGATACAGAGAATCAGCCGTCCTCTTAGCCACTTCAGTTTAGGCAGCCAAAGGGCGTCTTCTCACCACGTGGCAACTCAGTGCACACATGCTAAGGTAAAATCTTAAGTATACTTGCATACCTCAGCTAACCTTGCTGCCTCTCTTGATACTTAAATAGCCCTGTTACATTCCTCCCTTCCTTCTCTCCCTGAACATAGAGCTGGGAGGTTTTAATCAAAACAGTCCTGGATAAGTTCATCATGTTCAATAAGAAAGGTACTTCTGCTTTTCTGAAATAGTGCTTTTCGTTCATGAAGACATGTTACCAGAACTGGTTGAAGACATGTTACCAGAACTTGGATTTCATTTCAACTTCCCAGGGAATCCCTTTAGCACTAAAGGTTTAACACTGACAAGTCTCAGATACATTTTTAAAGCTTCAGGACTTGAGATCTAAGTGCTGCACCTCCTCACAACAACATACTGTCCACTAAATAGATGTCAAGAGATAGAGACCTAAAATCATACCACCACATCTTTGAAGATCTATCACTGTGCCCACAAGCCCATCTCTTTATTCACTCAATATATAAGACTAATGTTCCATGGCAATTATTCTCTACTTGCTTGACTTGCATGCAGGACTACGGATTTCACGCTTAATGTTTTTAATTTAGGGATTTTTTTTTTTTTTTTTTTTAAATATGAGGTACTCGAGTCCTGGGAACCCCTAGGAAGGGCATAGGCTGATAAGAATCCCATATGCTTACACACATAACAAGGAGCACACCTACTGAAGTGAGCAGGCTTTCAAGCCTCAGCTGCATTTACATTCACTTTGTACCAGTTCTGGAGGTACATGGATTCCAGCCCTCACTGGAGTCTTCAGACTTCAAGACTTGATATAATCATAGAATAGTTAGGGTTGGAAAGGACCTTAAGATCATCCAGTTCCAACCCCCTTGCCATGGGCAGGGACACCTCACACTAAAACATGTCACCCAAGGTCTCGTCCAACCTGGCCTTGAACACCACCAGGGATGGAGCATTCACAACTTTCTTGGGCAACCCATTCCAGTGCCTCACCACCCTTACAGTAAAGAACTTCTTCCTTATATCCAATCTAAACTTCCCCTGTTTCAGTTTTAACCCGTTACCCCTTGTCCTATCACTACAGTCCCTAATGAAGAGTCCATCCCCAGTATCCCTACAGCCCCCTAATTTTAGAATTCTAAGTATTTTGTTAATCTCTGCTGACACTAAATATTAGCATTAAAATGTCAAACTTAAAAATCAGCATGTACCTTCAATATATGAATTTTGTCAGTACACAGAAGTAGCATAACAAAGGAAAAAGGTGAACTGCCTTAGAGGGGTATCTACCCTTGACTAGAAGAAATAACTTTTGTGTAGCAGTATGCTTTTCTCCTAGTACATTCAAGTCAAATACATTTTCTAATGTGGAGATCCTGATGCAGCTAAAAAATACCACCTGCACCCCTCCCCACAGCCCCCAAAACCAAGCAGAAGGGCAGGGGCTCACACAAAACAGTGAAATCTGTGCTTATATTTATACTGACCAACAGCTAAAAAAATCCAAAGTAAAACCATACATGGCTGCTCATGTAGACTATTGAGACTTCAGGTGCAATTAGATTTATGCACCGAATCACAACCAAATCTGGACACAGAACAAAAAATTATTATCTTATAGCAACAATAGCAATAAAGCTACCTTATATGCAAATAAGTAACAGCACTAGTTCTGCTCAGAATCAAACTCTGAAGACACTACACCAGTAAGCTACTTTAAAATGAGAGAGACCTTTCCTTCAAACAAAAATTTTAACTCTAGAGTTACTACAGAACAAATCTAGTTTATCTGATGAAGCCGTACCTAACTTTCCTGTATTTTATGGGGGGAAGGGATGGGAAACCCACAAAAAACCCTCTGAAGCACTTAACTTTACATTTTTCACTGCAAAACCAGGTAATGACTAACAACCATGGTCTAAGCATTTCCAAACACTTTTTAATTAAGGAACATAATTAAAGTGAAAAGCTTAATTTAGGTGCTTTGACAACCTATTCCTTTTTTTTTTTAAAGCTCTAAAGGAAACCAATTTAAGAAAACACAATAAAAAATGTTAAAGAACTAAACAGATTCCTGGCCAGAGTCACATTAATGAGCTCTATACAAGTCAGAGGATATGATTATTTAACAAAAGGTTTGGGGTTTTGTGCTACCACCCAAAATAGTAAGTACACCCTGCTCAGAAAAACAATTAGTCACATCTTTAAGTATTTGCATGTGATAGCACACCTACTATGCACTTTATCCCTCTCCATTACCTAAAAAGACTTGCTAAACAGAAAACAAGCATTAGCCATCAACAAACATGCAGTCTAAACTTCACTTGGTAAAACTATTTCAGAGTGAAAATAATCAACCCAGAACAATACTATTCCACTACTAACTGTTTCTGTCATCTGCGAAAACATGGAACAGACATTATTAAAATCAAAGCTAATGAAAGCAAAAAAATTACAAAGGACAGAGATCTGGACTCTATCAAACTCTAAAGGTTAAGATGAAACTTTTAGTAATTAGCTTAAAGCAAACTTTTTAGATAACATAGATGTTAAAGATCGTATTAGAACAGCAACACCACATTTTACTAGAAAGATAAAAAAAGGACTTACAGAAGCCGTTAAAAGTCACTGACCTCTCACTAATTGTGTACATTTCACAACATCTGTGTGCGGATGTTCAATGGTAATTTCAAAACCTGAAGGGTTATGAATACATTTTAGAATTATATATTTGCATCTGTAAAATAAAAACCCAAACCCCTTTTGTTTCCCCCAAGCCCTAAAATACTTGCTTGCTAAGCCTCTGCACTGCAGATCAAGTAACACTATTTAACTGCCTTTTATTCTGCACCCTTTCATACTTTTGAAAGGGAGATGGTAGAGCCACTTCAAGATCAATTAGTAAAATATTCTTTCAGTAATCTTAAATTATATATATATATCTCCCTGGAAGATACTGTATTTTTAAAGTTGAACATATCCAAATAGTTTCTAGCACATTAGGTTGTCAGTAAAAGCATGTGTGCACACACTTCAATCACTGATTTCTGGGACTTAAACATGTCACATCTATGAAATTACAAATTAAGTCAACTTGTAGGTCAGTGACTTAAGAAACCTTTATGTGTTTATGACACTATTTTAAGAACGAGGTCAAACAACACACTCAAAGTGGTATTTAACAATATCTGAGTAAGTCAGTGTTCTCAGGCTTGCCCAGCTGTAATTATCTCTAGTTAGGTTACTTTAAAGCCATAACAGCTTCTTATCAGAACATTCCATTTAAAATTTTGGAAACACCGGAATCCATTAAATGGTTACACTATGACTTGTGATGTTCAGAGGTAGCAATCCTGCTCAATTATGTAATTTTCTACAGAAGGCAAATTGGGAAGAGCACTTGGTATAAAGCTCTTCCCAGTTGCTATAGTACATTACCTCACATGAAGGAATATCAAGGTAGTTACTACTTTGGAGTAAAATTTATCTGGAAGGGTGTATATTTCTACTCCACCAAGCTGTCAGAAACATCAAATTACAAGTACAGATACGCTTTTTTTTTTTTTTTTAACCCTAAATGAATACAACAGAACTGCTAACATGAAACTAAATTCACAGGTCGGAAGTTGTATGCAAAATAGTAGAATTCTAGTGTACAAACAGCACAATCAAAATCCAGTTACTTAGGTCCCATTACTTCTTCATGGTAAGTCTGGCTGAACAGGAGAGATTTAGAAAGACATACCTAAAGTTTGAAGCATTATTGTTTCAAGTATAACCAGCTCTTGGGCCTGCTGAAGGTATGCCTGAAACAAATAAGCAAAAAGGTCACGATGTAGCTATGCATTGTCTCAAGATTTTAATTATACACTTCTTATTTGAATACTGGTACTAGCAACACAAGGTAAGACCACTACCCAGCCCAGTTAAAACCAACTCCCAACACTTCACTGAGGTAATACTTTCTTTTACCTGTGTAAGGAGCCTAAATATCTTTCACAGCAAGATTTCTTTAGTCTGGATCTTATATAATCTATTCTAGCAAAAGAATTCTGGGAGGAGAGCCTGGGAGTGCTGTTAAGAATTGCTAAGGCTTACCAATTCTAATCCATTCAACTATCTCTAGGCAGTTATCCGTTTTACAAATACTTTAAAGTACAGCTGGGTATACTCAGTTGGCCTGTGTTAAGCAAACAGGCTCAGATGCACATATATATATATACACACCCAAACCAAAATTTATACACCTCATTCTGAGAGCTGGGAGCATAGCAGAGGTGTTCAAATACTTTCATATGTCAGCTGAGGCCCAGCAGGTTGTAACAAGCTCAGCTTGATCTTCAAGATGAACAACTCTAGTGCATTTTCACAGTACTTCCTCTTATGTTTGGCTTCAGGATGAATAATCTCAGGAAAGAACATATGAACTATAAAGTATGTGGAAGTGTACAAACTTTGGCAAATGAAAGGAAGACCAGTATGTAGCAGAAGCAGCAGCAGATGAATACAGACAATGGTGCAGTGAGCCACTAGCTGAGAAAGACAGGGTTCTGAACTCCTCCCTGCACAAACTGTGTGATTTATGGAACCATGCGTAAAACCTCTTACATCTTAAAAACAATGCAAGTTCAAGATGAAATAATCTCTTCAAGTTTCATAACACAAATCTTCGAGACTTAAGTAAGTTATATTAATACAAAAGACTTAAATGGCGTAATAGTAAGTTTTTTTCTAGTTTGCAGACAGCAATAATCCAGTTGAGACAATACAACATATCATTAGATGAAGTGTCATCTGCTTATCTGTAAAACCGTGACTTCCACCTACATCGCTTTTTGTATCCAGTTGTGGCTCTTGAGGATGAAGACAGGCATTTACCACTTTAATAACATGTTCAAGTTTCCGTGGCTGTTCTTCCACTTTTGCAGCCAAAAACAATGCCGTAGGAGATATTATCTAAAGAAAAAAAAAAACGCAAATATATATGTATTTATTCAAACATTTTACAAATAGGACTTGAATTTTTTCAAAATGAGAGCCTAAACTGATAGTTAGAAAAGGTTTAAGAAACTGGGCTTTTTTCTTTTTACTTTTTTTAAACAATTCTGAAATCATGTAAGGCAACACAAAATAGCAACACAAAATAAACAGTCATGTTTTATTTTATAACTGATGTAATCCTCTCGACAGCACAGGGAAGGAGTAGCATGTATGTTAAATTACATTTGTGAGTAAGAGGTCT